TCTCTCTCTCTCTCTTTCTGTGTGTACCACGAGTTGTACATCAGCGTCCGTTGCTACATAAGGGGAAGTGGCCGGTATGTGAGGAAGGCGCACGAAGCTACATAAGGGCCACATAATGTGCGTGGCCATGTGCATCCGGTAGAATGCGACGGCCTAGGTGAAATGCCTGGTCCCGTGCCAGAGACTTTAACCTCGATTCACATTAAAACAAACTGGAGTATTCTTTTCTGGCACCTTTCACGGGAGGGGGGTCAGGATTTGAGTTTCGAGCTTTTTTTTCAAAAACAGGGGGATGTCATCAGTCATTTGAATCATATCTTATTAATATTTTTTTCTTTTCACTACTCTAAGTAGTTGATAATAATCTAATGCAATGTATATTTTTATATTATAAATGTAATAAATAAACCTACAACAAAAAGAAATTTGTTCCTGGCAAAGAGTTCAATTTCCAACATTAGCTTATGTGCAAATTAGCTTTAAATAGGAAATATAGGTAATATGCCTCAAGTAATAGAATTTTGGAAACTCTCCTGTACCTTTACACGGAACTCCGAGTTTCTTATCAGCTAAGAATCTCCTCAGAGGTAATTCCCAATCGCTTTTACGAATATTCACGAGCGATAGAGGCTTTTAATTTCTCCCGAGGCGGTCTAAACTCTCCACCTTTAGAAGCTTGCTCCACGAGAATATTCGCCGACCGATAATCCAGCCGCGTATCCTTTCTACGCTCGTAAATTCGCCTACGTTCCGCCTTCTTTCTCGTTTCCTTCCTCGCGTAGTTTGCCTGCGTACCTGGTGGTCCGTTTACACGCCACTATACAGGTTTGCTCGAGCAACACCATCCAACCACTTCCACAATTCCATTGATATTTTCTTTAAAGCTCGTCAGAAGATCATAATAATGTGTAAACTGTAAAGTCATCCAGATTTTATCCAAATGGTTACACTCTATGCCTCGAGTAAGCTTGAAGCAATTTAAATTCACATTGGCTCACCCTGTATACGGAACGCAGCGACGGCGTTTATCTCTGGCACCGTCCACGCTGTCGCGTTTATCTACGGTAATAAATGCGCCAGTTGAACAAAGACGCGGACCGCCTGCACCCCGTTTATTCGCAACCCTGTCCAACTTGGCCTCCGCCGCGTTCCGTAGCGTGACTTTACGAGCTACGACAAAGGGGCCAAACTGACGTTACGATCATCCATCCGCGGGGAAATACGGTCGTAACAAAGGCGAGTTTCGTTTGGAAATTGGTTCGACTCGCACCAAACTGACTTTTCAAATTGGCATGGATTATGTCCGAGTCTAGTTCTAGAGGAAACGTTTTCGAGTTGGTGAAATAACAGTTGTTCCGTGCATTTTTCAGCCACGACCTGGAAGGAGGCCCCGTGGACGTCCTGGAAACGCCACACAGCTGCAAACTACGCCCAGGATACAGAGCCCCATTTCGCAGCATCTCGAGAAAGGTAAGATTATCGATACTTTAATCTTGGATTAAAACTTGGGTGATCGTGAAAGAAAGAGAAAGGAAAAATGATAGACAAAGGGCTCTCCGTCTTTTTCGTACACGTGTAGGAGGTGAAGTAGGGTCGTAATAGCTTTAAGGCCACGATCGAACGTTTCGGATAGCAGGGTCGCTCCTCGTTCATTGATTAAGAGCGTATGGAATTAGGGCCGGCTTAAAATGCATCGGCTCTACAGGGACGGAGACTGCGCTCTAGAGGCAGAAGGTATACAAAAAGAGCAAGCTATGGAAAGGCGGGAAAGGAGTAGTTAGGAGGGGAGAAAGGGCAAAGAAAGATATCTCGGGAGGCTCGGAGGCGCGCCAAGGGGAATAAATGATTCGAAGAACCAAGAAGAACCGGTCCACAAACAAAAGACTCGTTGCCAGGTCTGGCTGAATCTCTCTGGTTTAAGGGATGAGGAGGGCGAAGAAAAGAGTCGTGGTTCGTAGGAGGGATTTTAGCCAGGAAGGAAGTGCTGACTCTGGAACGAAGAGGAGAGGGTGCTGATGTTGATGGAACGAACTGCTGCGGGATTCTGAAGCCTTTGTCCGGAACGAACGCTTCTTAATCCCACCGTGGATCAGCGTTATATTCCTCCAACCTCTTCTGGTTTTTCTTTCTCATTTACCTCCATTTGTCGCGATGCCTTCCTGTTTTCTGGGTTAGTCGAGCTTTCAACGTATCGTTCAATTTCTTCCACTTTTATCCTATCACTTGATTTTGGCAGAAATTTCACCGATTGAATATTCGGGTATGTTTACATATCCGTGATATATTAAAGTTGGTTCTGCAACGTTAAAACGATCAGCCGAAGTTATCCAGTTTTGGAAATGTCAGATTTATACGTGCAAATCACATTCAAGGAGTGAAATTTAAACTATAATCCAATTTTCGTGGCGGCACGGTCGTTCCAATTACGGAATCGTTGTGTATATATATATATATATTTGCCCCAGAGGAAGTTTGCTTCTCTCCACAATGGTAGTTGCCCGGGGAAATTAATGAAAGACAACTACGTAACCCGGTGCGACACGCGCGCACGCGCGTGCACACACACACATACACACATATATCGAAAGGAAACTATTCTCGGTGCGCTTAAGTAGAGCTGCTATTGGAAAACTTCATTTCCAGATACATTCTCCCCCTTCCTAAGGGCTCCTAAATTGCTCGAGTTAATTGATAGAACTAATTCAATCTCCCATTATTCCCTGTTCAACCTGAATTGAGTCTTATCGTTCGATTCTTAAAATTTTCCACAAAACGAGTGAACACTTTGCAAACATTTATCCGAGTTGGAAACCGTAACTGTGCTTTTTTCCTTTTCTTTGCCCCTGCAGAGACAGCAGGAAGTCCGAAGAGGAGCGAGAGTGCATCGCAAAAGTCCCCTTACGTCACCGGGCAAATATAACCGGCGCGATTGCTCCCCTGTTTCTTCATCTTCGTTTCCTCCGCGTCCACTCGAGCCTCTAGAGCACTTGTCCATACAGAAGATCGCCTCCGAAGCTCTCGAATGTGAAAAAATCGATGTGAAAGTCTGTTCGCGTGTTTCACTCATGGAATTCTACAAGATTTCCAGTCTCTCTTTAGGAAGTTTAGCCGCATGATGATATAAACGCATTAGATACATTGTTTGTTCATATTCGATTAGATTTTCGATGAGATAGAGAAGATTTGGAGAACAATAAAGCTCTTGTTCGAGTAGCAGAAAATTTCAGGGGGTTCGATCGTTTGAAACAGCCGTGGAAAGCGAAGAAATTTATGATCCTGGTTCCAGGAACTTGTCCAGTGTTTCACGAGCAAAGATTCAAAGCCACGATCTTTCTTTCCACGGGACTACGAGGCAGAGGCACGCGCTAATAAAGTAACGAGGGCTCCTTTGAAGTGGTGGCTGCACGTCACTGCAATTCCTCGCCTCTCTCTCTCGCCCCTCCTGGCTTTCTTCTCTTTTCTCCCCTTTATCACCCGCCACGCTCTCCCTCCGAAAATAAACGCACCGCGTAAAACGTGAACCGGATGACACGTTACTGAAAATACAGCCACGAGATCCAGGAACGTTCGTTCGTTCGTTCGTTCGTTCTCCGTGCAACTGATATTTCGATGATATTTCGTAGTAATTACGAGTGGAAGATCCGAGGGAGGAAAGGAATTCTTTTCTATTTGGACACGCTTATTGGAAAGCCTTTCGTCGTGTAAATACATATTACACGAAGGGAGAGAGAAGGAGATGGTTAAATGCTGGATGTCGCTGCTTGGAAATATCACCCGTTAATTAGGAAAATATGTGTTGCTGAAAGACGTGTCCATACCACTGCTAATTAAAAAAAATTCAACCTTTCTTCTTCGTAATTAGGGGAGTGTTTCGAATATTTCTTCCCATCAGTGACTTCATCTAACGGTTCTAAAAATGAATTATGCTCGTTAAGAAACATTCCTTTCGTTTAACAATGTTAAACGAAACTTGGGTGGGTGCAAGTGTAGCCAGATCTAAATAGCAGTGAAAAAGATCTAGCGCGGGGGGGACAGACAGACAGACAGAGATGGAACGAAGATGTGTGCGGAAACGAGATTGATAGCGGTTACTGGTTTGTACGGGTTGCTTGGCAGCCTACCAATCCTGGTTGCAACTCGTCGGCACTTGTTCTCCCTCTTTTCTCGTCTGCCAACTTTTCAAAGTCGAGCCGCAAGCGCGAGCACGTTGTGGTCGTTCCCTCGAGAAAGTAGAAGAAATGCAGTACTGTGAGCGCGGGCTGTGGAAATCTTTAAAGAGTGCATCGTAAGAACTACAGAAAGAGAGAGAGAGAGAGAGAGAGAGAGAGGAGACTTATTGTTCGTTAGACTCTCTCTCTCTTTTTCGGCCACGAGAATATCGCCAGAAATCTCTACTTTGAAAATGAATTTTCGGAAAAACGATATGTGAAAAAGGGAACACGTTAAAATTACGCACGGGATTTTCAGTTATATTTCGACGAGAATAGTATAGGTACATAGGCAGATTAAAGCGTCGTTGAGTGGCACGTGGGCGGTCTGTCGTATTCCGGTAATATATATGCATTTAACATTAGGCGCGCAACGTATGCACAAATTGCAAGCTGGCGAACCACATGTCGACACGGTCGCATCTGGCGGCCAATGAACGCCATGTAGCCTGGAAATGGCCTGGAAAAAGCTAGTATCGCTATCTGCTGGCCAGGATATCTCTCGCGTTTTCGACCCAATACAGACCAGGCTAATTAGCCAAGAGACCCAGTCTGCCCGGATTTAGGGACGTGCGTTCTATTCCCAGTGCGACGAACTGGTTACAACGTGAAATAGAACCGTATTCCGTTCACATTACGCCTTGTCACGGAGAATTCTACTACCAATGGAACAGAATTAAAGAAGAAATATTCAAGAGCGTTGAGTTACAGAACGTGTTAAAGTTCAATTCAACGTTTCGTGGCGGAAAAGTCGCTGGGCGACGAAGCTACGCGTAGGAAGCATTGTCCGGCGAATGCATAATTTCGAGATCGATATCGTGTTGGCATACGCGTTCACGTATGCGCAGTTGCGCAAGTTTGCATTGCTTGGCCCGAATGGACGAGCTGGGACTTTTGAATGAACCCGGAGACATCGGTGACTCATCCACGATCCCTTGAATAGGCGACGATTTATCGCGCAGACGCGTCAGCCTTCACGCCTTGATGCCACGAATTCTCCAATGGGAATCATTCAAGAAGAATTTTCGAGTTGAAAAGTCACTCGAATCACTCACTTAAAATACAAAAGCAGCAAAGGAAATTACGTGTACTTCTGAAGAATAAAGGATTTGCATGTTATAATTAACAAAGGGTGACTATATAGGAGAGAAATTTTTGAACGACGTTGAATTGTCAGACAGTGTCATGAGTGAGACGGAAAAATGTTTCACGAGAGTCTTCGAGTCGAAAGTTCGCTCTACGCATTTCAGAATCCCCAGACGGAGGAAGAAACTACTCTTGCAAAGTTTCCCGTAAAGTTTCAAGCAATGTGCGAGGATCTATCTCGGGTATATAACTACTCCGAGACACCCCAGGTCTCCGTGAACTCGCATGCTTCGTGCCTCGGGGATCGAGAAGTCGTAACCTACGAATTCTTCGAGCAGAAATCCTTTAAAAACGTCCTTTTCGTTACCATTCGTTTACCAAGTTTTCTTCTTCTTGAAAACGAAACTGCTATTTTTTTCTTTAAGCATGTATTTAAAATTGCGTGGTATTCTGCATATACATCTATGGAAATGGCTAAAAGGGTTAAAGGACGCAATTACCAGCGGGTGCTCGAATATACGGGTTAGGGGAGGCAGCCTGGTGGAAGGCTGATCGATTCAGGAGTGAAATGTGAACCGGCTCAGGCTTATCCCGAGCTGGTTTCTTACTGGAACAGGTCTGAAGCCGTCCACGTCATCAATATTCGTAACGCGAAGGTGCTCACCCGATCGTTCGCGATAAAATTCCCTGGCAGAAAAGCTCGACCGACCGAGCCAAAGAGGATAGAATACCCGAAGGCTCTTTACGATCCCCTACCTAGTACCGGTTTCAAAGACCAAGAGATCTCGTGACGCTTCGTGAAATCCGCAAGATCGATGACCGTATTTCAACTCGCAGAATCGCGCAAACCGAAAGTTAGTTCACAGCAATAATTATCCGAGTTCTGTAACTAGTATAACGAATATAGCCGGCTAAATTATCCGGGGATCGCGATCCACCTGTGTTGAAACAAATTCGCAGCGCCTCTGTGCTATCTCGTCACGTAGAAAATTTCCCGGCAATTTTCGTCCGATGGAAAAAGGAGGATGTTAAAAAAAGGCCAATTTTGGCATACGGCCGGAACGCAAAATTCTACGCATCCTAGGGAACAAAAAATGTAATTGTCATTTTTCCCGGAAATGATGGAAAAGTTATGAAAAATGCGGTTCAAGGTACGTAGAATCATGCTGTAAAAAG